GTCGCATATAAATGAAAATGAAATAAAATAGATACAGGACAATCAACGAGGATGATAATTTCTTGCAATGGATGTGCCAAATGTGCTTTGCGAAAATGGATTCAGAATTAGCACATGAAACCAGTGGTGAGACGAGACATGGGAACTGCATGTCTTTCCTATGGATTCATCAGAAACGCAACGGCCTAAGCTTGGGACTGCAGCTTTTCTGGCTTTCTCCTGCTCAAAGGCTTGCTTAGCTCGATCCAGACCAGCTTCGGATCTGGATGTGCCGTTGGCTGCACCTCTGAAGGGTGAGCTCATTCCAGTTGATGGCACAGGCACAAACAGCTTCTCTAGTTTCAATGTCTTGGGAGGCAACCCTACGTAATCCACCTCGTGGCTGATTCATCGAGAATTGTCCAATTATGCCTTTGGTCTGCTGGAAGGCTTTGTGGAAAAATGGAACTGGAAGATTGCATACATTAGTGCCACTAGTATAGTACGTTGCATGATAGGGTCGGCGCCTGGGTAGGCATCGCTGCTCGCTCTTCTGGCCCTCTCCAAAGCAGCTGCTTTGCGCTCCTTCTCCTCCTCAAAAGCTTTCCGGGCCCTGTCAACCCCAGAGGCAGCCCGTGCCCGTTCAAGGGCAGCTGCCTTTCTTGCTTTCTCTTCCTCACTTCTGGTATCCTCTGGCTGACTTTGGCCATCCATGCGAGCGGCTCTCGCACGCTCCAGTGCCGCTTGCTTTCTGGCTTTCTCCTCCTCAAACGCTTTCCGCGCACGATCCACACCAGAATCTGCAGACACATTGTCACTCCCTTGTTCTGCCCTTGCAGCTCGGGCACGCTCCAAAGCAGCTGCCTTGCGAGCCTTTTCCTCTTCAAAGGCCTTCCTTGCTCTATCCGTTCCTGCTTCGTTGACTGCTCTTCCATCTGGTTCAGGTTGTGCTGGTTCTGCGGCAGCGGCCCTTGCAGCTCGGGCACGCTCCAAAGCAGCTGCCTTGCGAGCCTTTTCCTCTTCAAAGGCCTTTCTTGCTCTGTCGATTCCTTCCTCATTTGCTGCTCTTGCATCTGGTTCAGGTTCTGCTGGTTCTGCAGCAGCAGCCCTTGCAGCTCGGGCACGCTCCAAAGCAGCTGCTTTGCGACCCTTTTCCTCTTCAAAGGCCTTCCTTGCTCTGTCAATTCCTTCCTCATTTGATGTTCTTGCATTTGGTTCAGGGTCTGCTGGTTCTGCAGCAGCAGCCCTTGCAGCTCGGGCACGCTCCAAGGCAGCTGCTTTGCGAGCCTTCTCCTCTTCAAAGGCCTTCCTTGCTCTGTCAATTCCTTCCTCATTTGATGTTCTTGCATTTGGTTCAGGTTCTGCTGGTTCTGCAGCAGCAGCCCTTGCAGCTCGGGCACGCTCTAAAGCAGCTGCCTTGCGAGCCTTTTCCTCTTCAAAGGCCTTCCTTGCTCTGTCAATTCCTTCCTCATTTGATGTTCTTGTATCTGGTTCGGGGTCTGCTGGTTCTGCAGCAGCAGCCCTTGCAGCTCGGGCACGCTCTAAAGCAGCTGCCTTGCGAGCCTTTTCCTCTTCAAAGGCCTTTCTTGCTCTGTCGATTCCTTCCTCATTTGCTGCTCTTGCATCTGGTTCAGGTTCTGCTGGTTCTGCAGCAGCGTTCCTTGCAGCTCGGGCACGCTCCAAAGCAGCTGCCTTGCGAGCCTTTTCCTCTTCAAAGGCCTTCCTTGCTCTGTCGATTCCTTCCTCATTTGCTGCTCTTGCATCTGGTTCAGGTTCTGCTGGTTCTGCAGCAGCGGCCCTTGCAGCTCGGGCACGTTCCAAAGCAGCGGCCTTGCGAGCCTTTTCCTCTTCAAAGGCCGTCCTTGCTCTGTCGATTCCTGCTTCACTTGCTGCCTTAGCATCTGGTTCAGGTTCTGCTGGTTCTGCAGCAGCAGCCCTTGCAGCTCGGGCACGCTCCAAGGCAGCTGCCTTGCGAGCCTTTTCCTCTTCAAAGGCCTTTCTTGCTCTGTCGATTCCTTCCTCATTTGCCGCTCTTGCATCTGGTTCAGGTTCTGCTGGTTCTGCAGCAGCGGCCCTTGCAGCTCGGGCCCGCTCCAAAGCAGCAGCCTTGCGAGCCTTTTCCTCTTCAAAGGCCTTCCTTGCTCTGTCGATTCCTGCTTCACTTGCTGCCTTAGCATCTGGTTCAGGTTCTGCTGGTTCTGCAGCAGCAGCCCTTGCAGCTCGGGCACGCTCCAAGGCAGCTGCCTTGCGAGCCTTTTCCTCTTCAAAGGCCTTTCTTGCTCTGTCGATTCCTTCCTCATTTGCTGCTCTTGCATCTGGTTCAGGTTCTGCTGGTTCTGCAGCAGCAGCCCTTGCAGCTCGGGCACGCTCCAAAGCAGCTGCCTTGCGAGCCTTTTCCTCTTCGAAGGCCTTCCTGGCTCTGTCACTCGCAGCGTCGGGTTCCTTGCCATTCGGAACAGTATGGCTATGGCCGTTAGTCTGCGGCATCAAGGTTTGCTCAGCAGTTCGAGGCTGTGAATGTTCGCTCTCCACCTCGGTGGTTATCCGGTTATCCTTATGAAGTCTGATTCGGAGACTCTTCTCTGTTTATCGTCCTCTCCCTGCCTCCTTGATCTGAGATACCGACTCGGACCCACACAGCACCATCATCCCACACCAACTTGCCATCCGTGAGAGTTCCATGGTACGTTTCGCTACCTTGGCTGCGTCGTCTGACCTTTGAAACTGAACCTCCAAGAGTTCCAAAATTTGAATGCACCCCAAATAGCAACCATGTCATCTGACTCGGACAGAAGCCAAGGCCAAGACCCATCTGAAAAGAGCATTCTGTCCTGCTGGTGATCTTGAGGTCAAGCCTACCATTCAGGCTCAGTGGGCTGAGAAGCTCACAGGGATCACATGACAAATGGAATGTGTTCTCAATCGTGTCGCAAATCCAAATATAGGGAGCTGCAGCAGTATATTTCTTCTAAGGAGCCACTATTGTAGCAGGGCACCCTACGAGAAAAAACAACCCAGTTTGGGATCTTGCAGCTTCGACACTGACCACCATCTGGGCCGTACATTCGCGAGTCCTGGAAGGAAAAGGAGAACACCACATGCCACTGCATCCGATGCAAACATTCAAATGCTGCACCCAGTGCTGCCCACTGGGTCGTCCTTGACAACCACCACCTGGGCATGGTGACATGGCCGAGCAACAGCTCAAGATCAAACTGATGTGTCCCCCAAATCCAGTCAATTGCCATGCAATTTGATGAATTCTTGGGAATTTGCCAGCCCCCAGAATGCCAAAAAAATGAACTGCCAGGTGTGCAAAGCCACAAAATAATACAAAATACACAAGATCATACAAGCTCTTCAAGAGCATACAAAAGCGGCGTGGAATGCCCTCTTGGAATCCCCTGGAATGTATCCAACATCTTGGACCATGGCTGTGCCCTCATCATCCTGCCAGGCACCAGCAAAGGCACCGTCGCGACCTCGCGTTTCGTTTCGCACACCGATACCACGATGACTCCGATGACTCCGATGACCGCCCCCTAATTCAGAATGAAATGCCTCTAGTCATGCTGCCATGCCCTAAGATCCTTAAGTTAACTTAAGTGACTTAAGTGTACTAAGAGACCCCAAAATCAATAGAGTATTGAACCACCGTTTCGACTGGGGATTCAATATGTGTCGCCGTCTTCTGGGCCCCAAACCTGCCATTTTGTTTAGCACAAAATTGCGCTCTACCCGAGGGGTGCGGCGGGTCAGCGTTCGAAGTTCAAAGTTCTTCAGCCGTTTGTTGAAACTGTCTGAACTCCTTAGATACCCTGTGGATCAATGTTCCTCCCTACTTGCACCCACCACGCTAGAGCCCAGAGTAGCGACAAGCACTAGTTGCAAGATGTTGCAAGTTGCAAATGGAACCGCAGGACTCAGGCAAAAAACAACATTCATCTATATTCATCTGACATATCTTTGCTTATATCTTTGCACATCCTTGTCTTTTTTCCCCGCGAATCTCGACTCACTCGGTCCAACGGGTCTCCTTCCCACAATGAGCTTCCAAGCACCGGAAGTGCCTCATCCGCAGCCAGAGATCAACGGCGACCACTGCTGCGATCTTCCAAGCTCCCGACGCATAGGACTTCGCACGCCTTTAGTTACAGAAGGTGAAACTGGACAAACAAAACTTAGAAATCCCTATTTGTTGGATTGGTTTCCGGGAAAATCTACGCTCAAATCCTAAAATCGAGGTACTGTACCATATAATATAAATCCATATGTTGGGGGTACATCCCCTTAAGTAGCCCTTACATAGGCCTTACATATGGTAAGTAGCTCCGATCAATCGGTTTCTGAAATGGCGATTTTCTGTCGCCCCACAATCTCCGACATGGCGACATCACGACATCACGACATCGCCAAGCAACTTGAAGTGCTGCGTTGCTCCAGAGTCACAGACCGCACCTCGGGACATAGTCATAGTGCTGATGTGCCAATAACCAATCAAGATCAATCAGATCGCGTGCCAGGCTGGGGAAAAAAATGGTGGTTCCCAAAATAAAATGATTTCGCAAATAATCCAATCGGCAAGGGGTATCAAGGGGTGATATTTGCCATGGTACCATGCATTTTAGGTGGTTGTACCATGATACCCAACCCTGCATATTTACTTACATGTTCGAGGGTTGATGGTTGATTTGCCTCTGTGGTGGAAGCCCAAGTAGTGCTGGATTTGTTTGTTTATTGTGGGGTCCTCTATTTTTCGAGGTGTGATTATCTTGGTCGTTTGGATTTTGGTTGGGTTGAATTGAGTTGGTTATTGTGATACGCCGCCAGCATTAAACCACTAAATTAATCTTTCTACACACGCATATCTGTACTGTACATACGCATCTCTCACAATATTGACAGAGAGAGAGAGAGAGATATATATATATATGTGTGTGTGTGCTACATGTTCCTGAGGGTCTCGTTTTTAAGCCTCTTAGCCATAATCTGCCTTTGTATCTAAGGGGCGTTTTTTTGACTTTTGGAGGGTTCTATCATTATAAATTATACGTAGTTATAGATGTCTTTTAGTAGGTTTGACGTCAGTTTCCTGATAAAGTTCGAAGATGTTTCAGGAGGCAAGGCTGAGCAATTAACGAGAACCTTGGTTACCGGGTGAAGCTGTGCTCATTCGCTGCTACTGCATGAAGCAGTTGCGCAAAGTATGTATCATATTTCAAATACTCTCTTCGCGTGAAGGGCTTTTCATGGCACGACGCATTTATCATGGCATGATAGGCCTAGCATCAAATGATAAGACGCATGACAAGTTTGTTTCTGGCATGATCAATTGCTGACCACAAATCCCGGATCATCTACTGCAACTACTCGCATCATGAGCTATCGTATAACAAACTACTCATCTTGTCAAAATCCTACGCTTTTAAGAGGCGTCATTCGCGGGGTAAAAGCCGTAATTTGCCGTGTAAAAGGCATAATTTGCCGTGTAAAAGGCGTAATTATGCGTAATTGGGCAACCACCCACTTTCAAAAGTTCAAGGTTTTTCGGGTATGATATGGGTCACAAACCATGGGCGTACACAACGCACACAGTGAAATTGAAAAATCCTGTTCTGAATTCTTTGACACTGGGACCATGGCTTCCCCTTCACCTTTTTTTGGCTTCATGGGTTTTCTTGTCTTAAGCAGCTTTGCCCTTTTTCATATTGCTCTGGCAACTTGCGCTAATAGCAGGCACCAACATTTGTAGCGGAATCATAACTTGGAACAAAACTACTTGGATAACTATGGGAAATCACCATTTTTTATGGGTAAATCAACTGTAAATGACCATTTTTAATAGCTATGTTTGTTTACCAGAGGGTACCATCCTTAAGGGATGATCTTCTGAAGACACTCTGCTCAAGCGAAAACAGCAAGAAAGGCGCTTTGATTTTAAGGGGCTGGTTGTAAGGGGCCAAAAATTTGGCACATGTGGGTTTTGCAGATATATATATATATGTATATATATATATATACATGTGTGTGCGTATGTATGTGCGTACGTACGTACATATATATATATACATCTCAAAGTGTCATATGAAACAGATACTGTCTCGCGCTCCCGCAGCTTTCTTTTTCCACAGCTATGCCTATGCTCAGTCAATTTCACCTGCAATCCTCAGGTTTGCTTTGGGTTGTCACGATGTGACACGTACATAGCCCCAGACCAGTTTCGCCACTGGTCAGCTGCCTGGCAACCCAGGCTGGAACCTGCTCTGCAGGAATCACCCATCCCTTAAACCTAAGGGAAGGAAAAACTCTATTGGTCGCCCCAAGAGAGGATCCCCGATGGAGGCTATGTACTCGCCTGCCGTGCAGGCTCCCCTAACCTAGGCGGACATCTCCACGGGAGGTCGGCTCTTAGGGTTGGGAGGGTGGGGAAAGAAAACAGCAATGAATGCTATTTTGGTTCAAGTTTACTTGAGCCAAAATGGTAGCATTCATTGAAACACTTAAAGATGATACATGCACACCCAAGCCTGCCAAACTCAATGCATGGGTACATCTCAAAGTGTCATATGAAACAGATACTGTCTCGCGCTCCCGCAGCTTTCTTTTTCCACAGCTATGCCTATGCTCAGTCAATTTCACCTGCAATCCTCAGGTTTGCTTTGGGTTGTCACGATGTGACACGTACATAGCCCCAGACCAGTTTCGCCACTGGTCAGCTGCCTGGCAACCCAGGCTGGAACCTGCTCTGCAGGAATCACCCAATGCACTCAATTCCCAAAGCACTAAAGGTATTCGAAGGTGAGAATGACAGCTGCAAAGGGTAGCTGGAACAAGATTGTAGGGAGGTACGACGAATAAAATTCAAAACCATGGCATCGCCACCATGGATCATTGACGCCAAGTCGGCTGATATCGTCAGCCCAGTTGCTCTTGCTCTGGACGTACTCCCAATATCCTTGGGCTCGCAGTGCAAACAGAGCTAGATGGATCAAATGACCTAGCTTCGCTAAGTCGGCATTGCTAGAACGTCCTCTCACTAGCGTCATGACGGCTGCTACGTTGTCCAAAAACCATAGGCCGTGTCGGTTTCGAAACAGATCAGGCCTTTCGACAAGGGCGTAGAGCACCATAGATAGTTCCAATTGGGCGATATGCGTCTCTGCAGGTTGCCAAAGTGTTCGGAGCTCTGCACAGTTGGTCGCGACAAAACTGTGACGAATTTGTGATCCGTCAGGCTGGAAAAAGATCAGATGAAAACCTCCTGAACCAGGATTGTCTGCTTCGACAGCTGCGTCGGAGGCTGCCAAAAAGCGCAGATGATCCAGGTGCAGAACGGGAAATTCCCGCTTTGGCTGAAAGCGCATAACCGCTTCGATCACCTCGAAGCATGCTTCAATCTCGGGAGTGATGGTCGAGGTTGTCTCGTCTTGCCTGGCTTTGATGGCCATGAGGCCGCCATATCCCACTCGACCGTAGATTCCCTGTTCCAGGAAATTGGCCAAGCCGTACAGCTTCGATGCTGCCCCTCGGCTAAAATGGCCAGTCATCCTGGCTGTTGCCAACATGTCACGTACTTTGTCATGGAGCCGTTCTCGAGCCCAAAACTGTACATGCCCTGTTTGGTTGATGGAGCTGAGATCATGAGTCAATCCCAGAAAGGTTCCGGTGCTCTGCATTGGTTGTTTCTTGTCCTCTGCGAAGGGGGAGCCGATAAGAGAACATAATTGATTCATGGCCCATTGGCCTGACCCTTTTGAGGATTGCAAGTCTGTAATGGTCGCATCATCAAAGTACAGGGATGTCAAAACTCGGCAAAAACGCCTGGCTAGTGCCTCCAATAGTCTGGAAAAACGGTTGAATGATGTAACCGCCAGCGGCAGTCCGAAGAGTAGCCCAGCGTAGACTTGGTATGCAGGGGATTGCCATTCGTGATGGTACCACACCACCACGCAGCCCAGACTTTCCTGCAATGCCATAGGGCAATACCTGTATGCTGAAGGCAGATCTTCTTGTCCTGTTTCCCAGGCATCGTTCGCGAAGAAATCGGTCATCTCATCCTCTGTCCAACGATGCATTGCAAGGCGAATGTGCTGGGCAGGACGCAATGGACTGCACAATGTGAGCTTGTTAGCATCAGATGACAAGGCTGATTGTCCTCCGGTGTCCCCATTGTCGATCACACGCTGCTTGCCTGAGCTCTGTGTGATCACGCAACGCGGGATCAATCGATGGGCCTTGTTGCCAATGGCCCGCAGGAAATCTGTCCGTCGCAAGGGCTCTGTGCAGAAACCATTCGCTGCGTCGCTGCGTCCTCCAATGACTGCTGCAGGAGGAACTCATCATCCTTGCCTGCTCTCAGCTGGCCCAAGATGTGCTGATTGTGTTCCTGCCATCCCTCCAACACATCTGCCATGCTGATCACCTCAGCTGGCTGTTGGGGGAAGATCCCATAAGGTGGTGCGTAGCCCACTGCAGGCAGCCCACGGATCAGACCATAGGGAAAGCTGGTGTCTGCCCATGATGTCAGCAGCATCAGCAATGCGATGAGCCCCACATCGCGGTGCCGTGTTACCTGCTGGATGGCCGGCTCTTGGAAGGATCGCAAGTGGCGGGTCACCCCCTCCCAGCGTCTCTTCAGCTCTCGCATGGCCCCGACTGCCTGCTGTCGCCACGTGCGCAACTGCTGGCCATGTGCCACATAGGCATCTGCTACGAACTCCAGGTCTAAGTCGACGACTGGGAGGTCTTCGTAGGGCAACGGGTGCTGGGCTCGTTGGACTGCTTGGTTGAAGTGGTCCTCAGGATCCAAGTTGAACGGCAGCAGTGGGGGCAAAGCGGCACGGTGTGTCATCGCACCCACTTGGCACCCGTCCCCAATCCGTGCAAGCTGCCTCACTGACCCGGCAGCCAGATGCGGGACTAGGGGCCCGTCCCAAGCTTCTCCTCGCTCTGCAAGCCAAGTGGCATATGAGCAGAAGGGCGGGCTGTTGATGAGGTCTTCAATCATTGCAAACTTGTAGTTCTTGAACCAGTGCTCGGGGAAAAGCTTTTGGAATGCCAATACCAGTGCTTCTTGGCTCATCATGGGTAGGGCTACCCCCCTGGGAATAGCCTGGATCCCTTGCAACAATGCCACAGTCCTACTCCATCGGCCATCGGTGCCCCGCTGCATTGGGTCACCCCCAGGGGCGGTGGCATCGAAGAAGAGGCCAATGAGCATGTCCGCTTCGCACAGGTGCTCCATGGGGCAGTCGCACGCCAGCTCCATATTGCTAAGCTCATGCAAGGCGTCCCACAAAGGTGATGTTCGAATATGGACAATGTACCTGGCCGGCCATTCACCGGCTTCGCAGTTGTGGCCCGGTGTCCATGGCGATTTCCACTTGGTCGTCGATAGGCGATGATGAAAGCTGCCTCGGCCGACGTAGATGGTCTTGCGTGGTAGCTTGTTGTTCTCG